GGATTGCTTGAGCCCAGGAGTTGGAGGTTGCTGTGAGCTAGGCTGACGCCATGGCACTCTAGCCCGGGCAACAGAGTAAGATTCTGTCTCAAAAAAAGAAAAAAAAAAAATTAGTTCATTCAAATAAAACACAACAATTCCTGGTACACAGGAAGTACAAGGTAAATGACTACTACATTATAATGGTTTAAAATGTTTAGGCACAAAGAAATTAGACTGTGGATCTATTTTTATTTTTTTATTCTTAAATTTCAGAATACTATGGGGGTACAGACATTTTGGTTACACATAGTGCCTTTGCACCTCCCAAGCCAGAGCTGCAAGCGTACCCATCCCCCAAACAGTACAGTCCACTCTGCACCCATAAGTTGTGAATTTAGCCATCCCCTCCACCCCCATCCCACCTGCCTGGCACCCAGTGAGACTGTGGATCTATATGCAAAGTTTCCAATAGATGCTTCTTAGACAAATGGGTAGAGCATGCATCAAACCAATTCAGTACTCATAAATATTGCTAGTGATCGCCTTTCTTCGTGCACTGGTATCATCTACATTTGAGCTGTAATTATGAAAAGGGAGAAGGGAGAGGCCATATTGAAGAAAATCTTCCAATTGTTAACTTTGGGTGGTATTCCTTTTTTTTTTTTTGAGACAGAGCCTTGCTTTGTTGCCCAGGCTAGAGCGAGTGCCACGGCATCAGCCTAGCTCACAACAACCTCAAACTCCTGGCCTCAAGCGATCCTCCTGGCTCAGCCTCCCGAGTAGCTGGGACTACAGGCATGCACCACCATGCCTGGCTCATTTTTTTTCTATCTATTTTTAGTTGGCCAATGAATTTCTTTCTATTTTTAGTAGAGACGGGGTCTCACTCTTGATCAGGCTGGTCTTGAACTCCTGACCTTGAGCGATCCTCCCACCTCGGCCTCCCAGAGTGCTAGGATGACAGGAGTGAGCCACCGTGCCCGGCTCGTATTCATTCTTCATTGAGGTTCCTAATTTGTGCAGGGAAGCATGGTAGGTGCTGTGAGGCATTCAAAGGGGGAAGTCTGAGCCCTCCAAATTACAAAGTGGGAGCAGAAAAGAGCACCCACCTACGGGGTGGGTGTGAGAATGAACCTCGATCACTTCATAGAGGAGACACCATTTGAGCATTTTTGTTTTTGTTTTGAGACAGAGTCTTGCTCTGTTGCCCAGGCTAGAGTGAGTGCCGTGGCATCAGTCTCGCTCACAGCAACCTCCAACTCCTGGGCTCAAGCGATCCTCCTGCCTCAGCCTCCCGAGTAGCCCCTGGACTACGGCATGCACCACTATGCCCCTAATTTATACATTAAGTTGGCCACATAATTTTATCGATTTATAACGTAGAGATAGGCGTCTCACTCTCGTCCAGGCTGGTTTCGAACTCCTGACTTTAGCAACCCTCCCACCCTCGGCCCACAGCAGAGTGGCTAGATTACAGGCGCTGAGTCACCCACGCACCGCCAATTTGAAAGCATTCCCTATTTGAAGTAAAGAACACAGATTTTAAAGACAATTTTCATGCACTGGGAATGACATAATAGAATTAGGAAATATAGAATTCGAAAATCACAGGGAAAATTCTGGGGATTTCAAATAATCAAATTTGATGAAAGAGATGGGTAAGAGAGTAACAAAAGATCTGGCTACAAAGGTAGGCTGGGGATATGTGAAAGCAGCGTGGATTTTCATTTTTTGTACGCGACATTAAGAGTTTGAGAAGAGAAAAATGTGTTAGCTATTGAAGAAACGATGATTACTAGTGGGAAGATTATTGCAATTATGGGTGAGAGGTATATTCAAACATTAGCCACCAGTCTCAGTGTAGGTTAAAACTATAATTTTGTTCTCATTGAATAAACGTATCACAGAGATTTCCACAAAATGTATGGACAATAAATAATTCATATTTGGAAATGCTCAACAGATAAATTCATGCCTTTTCTATGGAAGGGGCCACAGCACCCGGGAAGTCCGAAGGCACCCTCAATAATTCTTCCACTTCTTCCTGCAAAGCCTCTGCTTTTTCATGCAATAGCATCTGCGATAAAAAAAAAAATCAAGACGTAAGGACAAAATATGCATTGCCAGAGAATCACCAGCATTTTTACCACTACCTCTTGGACACCTGAATCCTTACACATCAGTAATCTAGACATTAAAACTCATAACGAGATTGAAAAATGGCCACTTAAGAACAAGCGATTATAGCAAATGAAGCGAAAGCATTTAGTTAAAACCATTTTAGCTGATCACTGCATTTAGTATAGCAAAAATAAAATCTTTAATACTCTCAAAGATTTTTTTTATTGAAGACTCAGCCACTTAAAAATTCACTTCTAATCTATAATTTTGCAAAAATTTAATTAGCTCCTGAAAATGGTCTCCTTTATATGTATGCATTTTATTATTCTTCAAAATTTAGTATGCTTTAAAAAAACCTACCAGTATTTCAAAGAAAAGTTTTATCCGAACTTCTAAAGTTGAAATGGTTAATTTCAAAAGCAACATTGAGTAAAAAAAGGATTTCTAAACCTGGCATATAGAAGATGTCAGTGAGTATTTCCTGAATAACGACTTTTCCTCTTTGTTCTAAAAATAAATAAAATATTGGCATTTGTTGCATCTACGTATTGCATGTGTAAGGGTGAAGTATTTGCACTGCTTCTGTCGTAAAATTTTTATAATAATACGTTTAGCAAATTCACAGAGGGGAAACAATCTTGAAACAGAATAAAAGTGAAAAATCACACTCTACCAATTTGATAAAGCACAGCACTAACTATAAAAAAAGAGACTAAAATGTAGTTAGGTAAGCTTTCCAGGAGCTGAGGTAATGATAATCATGTAAAACAAATCTCCTAACACGGCCTCTAAAAGCAAGACTAGTAAGTAAACCACAGAACTCCTGTGTGCCCGCATTATTATTCGTAGAATACAGAGAACACCGTCAATCTCAAATTACTTGTTTAAAAAAATCCATAACTTCAGGCAGGCAGAACCAATTTCTTGAGTTCCTATTCCAAGTGTTTGCAGAGATCAAGGTGGGGTTGAGAAAAAAAAAAAAAAACTACACGGACAAGAGGGAAACAGAGAGTCTAAGATGAAATAAAATCACCTCCAGAGACAGAAAGCCTACCTACATATAAAAACACTGACAAAGGGATCTCGGAGGATTGAAGCACTGTTTACAGGGAGGCATCTACAGTGCGTGTGGCACTCCAGGAGGAAGACGTTAGAAAGGCGATGCTTTTGGGGAGAGAACGGGTGAAAAGGGCGGTGCCCTGTGGAAGCTGAGCAGGGAGGGGAAAAGGCAACAGGGACAAAATCTGGAATCCTGGGCCGGGCGCGGTGGTTCACGTCTGTCATCCCAGCACTCTGGGAGGCCGAGGCGGGAGGATCGCTTGAGGTCAGGAGTTTGAGACCAGCCTGAGCAAGAGCGAGACTCCGTCTCTACTATAAATAGAAAGAAATTAGCCAAACAATTAAAAATAGAAAAACATTAGCTGGGCGTGGTGGCGCATGCCTGTAGTCCCAGCTACTCGGGAGGCTGAGGCAGGAGGATCGCTTGAGCCCAGGAGTTGGAGGTTGCTGTGAGCTAGGTTGACGCCTTGGCACTCTAGCCCGGGCAGCAGAGCGAGACTCTGTCCCTCCAAACCCCCCCCCCCAAATTAGAATCCTGTAGGGTTAAAGAAAATTAAGACAAATCCTCTTTGTGAGCTTACGCTCACACTGGTCTCATTTAAAGTCACTTATTGTGGCCATGGTAACTGCAGTCCCATTTGTATCCTTAACAATATTCAGTGTGACTCCACAGTCTTGGCTCTACCCCTTACTATTTCACTGGGTAAATCACTTTATTTAAGTTTCATTTATTTATTTATTCAAATATGTATTGAACACATACCATAGGCTGAGTCCCGTGCTAGGTGTATGGCAATGGAAACGTCTATAACTGCGCCCCTCCCCACGCTAAGACCTCCTAATCTAATGGGACCGGGTCAGTCTTTGTGATGTCACATACAAATTGAGGATGACACTGACATTGCCTATCTCATAGGACTGTCATAAAGAGCAATTAACATAAGCAATGTGAGCGCCATTCAAAAAAGAAGGATGGAAACTTTCTTTTTAGCTGATTCTGTGCTCCATGAGCAACAGTGGGTGTAACAACGAAGTTTAAGAGGAGCCAAGCTATTTCAGACTTACAACTATAGTTGAGATCAAGAAGTAAATTATCCCGATTGCTGTGTGATGGCTTTACCCACAGGAAGCAGAAGGGCAATGACAAACCGGGTTCCGACCAGCAAAGGGTAACTAGGACAACGAATGGCCTAAAACTAGGTATTAATTTAACGCAGATGAAGAAAGCGGAAAACAGAAACCCTTGGGGGCAGTGAGGGCTGTTTTCAAATATATGAAAAAAAAACTGCCATATGAATTAAAAAATACACTAGTTCCAGGTGGTATTGGAACGCAATGGTAGAAATTTTTTTTTTTTTTTTTTGAGACAGAGTCTCGCTTTGTTGGCCCGAGCTGAGAGTGAGTGCCGTGCGTCAGCCCTAAGCTCACATGGCAAACCTAAGACTCCTGGGCTCGATGATCCTCTGCCCTCAGCCTGCCGCCAGGTAGCCGGAACTACGCATGTCCACCGCATGCCCGCCTAATTTTTTTGTTGTTACTAGGTATATATCATTGGCCCAATTAATTCTTCGTATTTTATAGTAGAGACGGGGTCCTCCGTCCTTGCCTCAGGCTGGTTTTGAACTCCTGACCTGGCATCCGCCGCCCTCCGGCCTCCAAGAGCTAGGATTACAGGGCGTCAGCCCCAACGAGCGCCCGGCCAGATGGCTAAAATTTTAAGGCGGCGCAAGAAATTAAACTTCCCGCATATGGGATGTTTTGTCCGGTAACACTAACAGGCATACAAAACAGACACTAATTTCTGATGTCTGTACAGCTCCTCGCCAAGGAAGGTGCCTCAAAGGTTGAGAAAGAACCAGGCATGTCCGGGATCCCGAGGAAAGCATTTCTGCGAACCAAGGTGCTAGGTAAGCAGACTCGATACTTCCAGGGTTCCCTGTATTTCAAAGAACCTTCCAAATCTGCTTTATTTTTTAGCGAGGTCCTTTCTTCCTTTTTTTTTTTTTTTTGGACATGAGTCTCACTTTCTGCCGCCCAGGCTCACGAGTGAGTGCCCATGGCGTCCAGGCCTGGCTCACCAGCCAACCTCAATCTCCTGGCCAGCGAGCATCGCTGCCTCAGCCTCCCTACGTAGCTGGGACTACAGCATGCGGCCACCATGCCCCCGGCTGAATTTTTTTTGTAATATATTTTATTTTTAGTTGGTCAATTAATCTTCTATATCTTGGTAGAGACGGCGGTCTTGTCGAGGCTGGTTTTAAACTCCTGACCTCGAGCAATCCGCCCGCCTCGGCCTCCCAGAGTGCTAGGATTACAGGCGTGAGCCACCGCGCCCGGCCCTTTTTCTCTTTTTAACAAGATCTGTGTCGTAACTGATGCACTATTTTGCTCACAGATTGTGCACCTGTGCTTTGTTGTCTACGGAAATAAACTATTATGCAATGGTGTACGTTTTTGTTCTGATGTCTAAAGTACAAGGAGCTAACACTACAAAATATTATAAAGGTTAAAAAACTGTTTGCTCACCTTTGCCGACGACACAATTTGCTTGGCCTGGCGTCGTGACAAGTGGTCAATCGTCCCTATCAGCACTTCCGGATTGGCATTGGCTAAGTGCGTTAAGCTTCTGTAACCTGCGTTGTACAGCTGTCTTGCTCGACCCTGGAAAGTGTTACAAAAGCCAGCAGGATCAGAATTTGGGCTTAGAAAAAAAAAATTAAGCATGTTACAGAAGGGTTAGGAAAATATTTCACGTATAAGGGATAGGAATAAACTAAGATAATAAATATGAAGAGATAACACATTAGAATCCTGATGAATTTCGAAAGATGCACTTGGGTGGTTCCAAACCAACAGCAAGATAGCTTTCTATGCAACTTAGGTCAACTTACATGGGCTGCAGTCAGGAATGAGAAACCCATTAAGGCATTTAGGCTTTTTTGTTTTCGGAGATAGAGTCTCACTCTGTCGCCAGGGCTAGAGTGCCGTGGCCATCAGCCTAGCTCACAGCAACCTCCAACTCCTGGGCTCAAGCGATCCTCCTGCCTTAGCCTCCCAGGTAGCTGGGACTACAGGCATGTGCCACCATGCCCGGCTAATTTTTTCTATATATATTAGTTGGCCAATTAATTTCTATTTTTAGTAGAGACGGGGTCTCGCTCTTGCTCAGGCTGGTCTTGAACTCCTGACCTTGAGTGATCCGCCCGCGTTGGCCTCCTGGAGTGCTAGGATTATAGGCTTGAGCCACTGTGCCCAGCCAACTTATTTTATTTTATTTATTTATTCTTAAGCAATAAAAATTTCTATTTTACAAAAAAGTATTTACAGACTGAAATTCAAACTCTACATTGCCATCAGTATAATTATACAAGCGCGTACAAAGCCCTAGGAAAGAGTGTTTCATTACAAAATATTTGTGATCAAGAAAATATTGCTTACCTTTAAATAAACAGAAGTGGCAGAAAAAGAAATATGTTTAAAGTTGGCAATTTTCACAAGTAAACAAAAAAAAAGTATACATATGAGCAAGCGAAAATATGCTTGAGCCACTTTATTTTAAATAAAAGACTGCCACAACAAGTGAGCAATGAGGCTCTCCTATTACTTGCCCTGCAGTAAGACTTCACGAAATAGTAGAAACCTGATTTTTGTGTTCATTGAAATAACCTCAGCTGGGAACTGGGAAGCTACTGACCTCTAAAACTCCGGCCACTTCCATGAGAGGGACGAGCTCTGCCTTCACGCAGTACGTCAGTTTCTTGGTCAGTTCCACCAACAGGGCTCTATAAACCCAAAACTCCTCCAGTTCCTGCAGGACACAAGGAAATACATAAAATTTAAGTTTTTTAAGTTAGTTCAAAGTTTAGTTCATGCGGTAGGGGACTCAGGAGAGGATGTTTGTTTCTGTAAATTCTGTAACTTAAGCCCAAGAAGAAAGATGGCTCCAGGCAAGATTATTATGAGGGAACATGGTGGAGACCCTGAGGAATCTGATCAACTGGTCTTAGGATGAGGAAAAAAATTGAAATTGAAAAATAAGTCAGTAAGATGAGTTCTATTCATGTTTTTTTTTTGAGACACAGTCTCACTCTGTTGCCTGGGCCAGAGTGCTGTGGCGTCTGCCTCGCTCACAGCAACCTCCAACTCCTGGGCTCAAGCTATCCTCCTGCCTCAGCCTCCTGAGCAGCTGGGACTGCAGGCATGCGCCACCATGCCCGGCTAATCTTTTCTATATATTTTAGTTGGCCAATTAATTTCTTTCTATTTTTAGTAGAGACAGGGTCTCGCTCTTGCTCAGGCTGGTTTCGAACTCCTGACCTCGAGTGATCCTCCTGCCTTGGCCTTCCAGAGTGCTAGGATGACAGGCGTGAGCCACTGTGCCCGGCCAAGAAAGGTTGTTTTAAAGAATTAATTCCAAATACCTAGAACTATTAATGGTGGCTCTAAGAGTTGGGTTAACTAGATACTTTTTACTTATTCTTCATGTGTTTTAGTTGATTTAGTAATTTTTGCATCTTTACCATGAGTAGGCGAGTATAGGCACTTTTGTAAG